CACCCTTCCTGAACTCCCTTCCCCTCCAGTCCCTCTTCCCATAGGGTCTCTCCCACTATTTTCCTAAGCTTACTGAAGTCAGCCTTCCTGAAGTCAAACACTTCCCTGCCCTACGATGGATAGTGAATTCTATCATCTCATGATCACTATCTCCCAGATTATCCACAATCTTCAGATCTCCCACCAGGTCATCCCCTTTAGCTAGAACCAAATCCAATAAATCCTTCCCCCTGGTTGGCCTGTTCACCTACTAAAACCTATGTGACCGGTCAGATCTGACCAAGTGCTCCTCCCAGCAAATGTCAGGGTAATTGAGGTCACCCATGACAACCATGTCCCTTGAATGTGCAGCCACCATCAGTTCTCTGGAAAATTCAGATCCAGCTCCTCCTGGTGTGGCAGTCTGTAGCAGACACCAACCATCAAGTCCCCGTCTCCTTATCCCCCCTCAGTATCTTGGCCCAGAGGGTCTCAAGTTGCCCTTCCCTCAAAGCAGTTTGGGTCTCCAAGGTGGCATGCTGCACCTTTACATAGAGAGCTACACCTCCTCCCTTCTTCTCTACTAGTCATGCATGGTGTCCCAGCAGGTCTCTGTTATTCTGACAAGATTATATTCCCTATTTGCTAGCAGGAATGTCATTTCCTCCTGCGTATTCCCCATACTCCTAGCGTTTGTGTATAGACACTTAAGTCCCTCATTGGTAACTGCCAGTTCTCCACCGCCCCAATGTTGTTCCAGCCTCTCAGCACCTGCCTGACTGCCTTCTCTATGTCCTTCCTGCTTGACTGTCTGCCCTGCTTGCATTCCTGTTTGCACACCCATCCCCTAATGCACCTAGTTTAAACATGTTTCTTTAGAGCTACCAGCTGCTCCAGGATAAGCTGAAGACACAGATGTACACCACCAAGGACGTGGACAGATGTATCTTTTGAAGTGTTCCACATGCCTTTGAAATGCTTTAAAGGGGCAGCTGTACAAATGTACATGCCCTCTGAAGCATTCCAAAAACATCCAAAACATTACAAAAAGGTACCTCTTGGAAGGAAGTACTTCTTGGAAGCATTTCACATTTGTGTTACCTCTTCACAGGGACAGAGACCCCCAGAATCCCAGAGTGCTCTGATCTATCCTCTTCATGCAAAAGGGAGAGAGAGTGGGGTGAACAATCTAGCAAGCTGACTGACAGCTTGCTAGACTGCCCAGAAACCAAACTGATGCACCTTGGCCACTGCTGTCCCCAGCAAAGCACCTGGAGCTGTGACACCAACAGCATCAAAAGTGATTGAACTGGTAGTACTCGAGGCACTTGTACTTCCCTAGCTGTCGGGGTATTCCAGGCATGGCAGCACCCCACACCCTCATGCCACATGGGACTCCCATGCACCTGGCACAAGAGCTGTGATTCCAGCTCTCCAGGCTCCAACCCCCTTTTACCTCTCCTCTCAAGTGGGAGGGGGAGACAAGAAGTTTGGAGGATTGGTGTTGGAGGCTAGAATACTAATGGAAGGACACTGCCACCATAAGACCCCCCCCCCCACTGCCACCACAAGACCCCCACACCCCTACTGCTAATTCTTCTGCCAGACGTCCCTACCTGCACAACTGTCTCCACCACCTGACACCACCTGTGCCCCCCACTGCTGAAGCTGGAGTCAGGATTTTGGCTCTCCAGTCTCCAATTCCCATATATCTCCAGTTCTAAGTGGGGGTGGTAGGCAGGGCTTGAAGAAGGGTCATGGTCTCTGGTCTCCTGGTTCTGGCAGCCAGGTGGTCAGGGGAACGGCAGGAGAGCATCCATTGATATTGGCTCCACCCGCCTCCCTTTCATCCTGTGGAGGAGAGTAGATCCACAGCTCTGGGAGAAGAGAAACTACAGAGGGGCACTGACAGTCTGCTTGTTTCCCACCACTCTGTCGGGAGTGAGAAGAGGGGGGAGTTGTTGGGACACAGGGGCCTTCAGGCCTGGTTTGACCTTTGTGCTCAGCTCAAGCTGCATGCTTAGCTTGAATTGTGGACAAGACCTGCACCCAGTGAAAGGAGCAGATGGAAAAATACTGTCCCTGACTTAAAACAAATCAGGAATCTGGCTAACTGAACAGAATAAATATAACCTGGGCAAAAGAGGGACAGTCAGAGCAAAATCTACCCCTGCCTAAGAATGAAAAGCTTACCTCAGAATAGAAAATTCCAGTTAAAGGTATTTTTGGCAAACAGAAGCAAGATTATTAACATGCATTAGGAGGAAGGCTTAAGTTAATTTTATGTATTAAGAAATACAAGCTATATTGTGTATAAAGAGAAGTGAAAGAGTGTACCCTTTGAAACACTCCTGAAGAAAGCTTGAAAAGATCCTTTCACTGATTCAAGATCCTGTCTTGACATCAGACGTGGGAGCCAGGAGCCCCAGACAAGACTTCATGGCCTGATCAACCAGTGAAGTTGCGTTCGCAATATTTTGGGGTGGTGAGCATCTACTTTGACTAGCTACAAACCTAAAATTTTTAACTGCTACTGCTACCAAGGATCATATTTGTGGGAGTCCAGCAGGAAAAATAATGCAGCAGGAAAACCAGCATGGATTTGTAGCAGGTAGATCATACCTGACCAATCTGGTTTCATTTTATGACAGGTTCACAAAATGCTTAGATGCAGGAGTAGGGGTGGATGTCATTTTCTTGGATTTTGGCAAGGCCTTCAGTATAGTATCTCATCCTATTCTCATAAATAAATTAAGAGGCTGTAACACAGATGTTTACATGGTCTGGCAAATTGGCTTAGCGGTTGCACCCAGAGAGTGGTAGTAGATACGTCGGTATCGACCTGGAAGGATGTGGGTAGTGGGGTCCCGCAGGATTTGGTCCTTGGACCTGTACTCTTCAATATCTTCATCACTGACTTGGATGTGGGTGTGACGTACTCTGTCCAAGTTTGTGGATGTTACTAAATTGTGAGGTGAAGTGCACACTCTGGAGGGTAGGGAACGATTGCGGGCAGACCTGGACAAGTTAGAAAAGTGGGCAGTACACAATAGTATGCCGTATAACAAGGACAAGTGCAGAGTGCTGCACCTAGGGTGCAAAAATATCCAGCACACCTACTGGCTGGGAAGTGACCCTCTCAGCAGCACAGAAGCAGA